GGGCCGGGGCTCCCTCCTCTCTCCCCTTTTGCCTTCGCCCTTCGAGCCGCCACGTAACGCCACGTCCCCGCGCATGCGCACCGCGGCTGGCGGCGGTGGTTGTTTCCGGGCTCAGGGCGCCCGAGCGGCTGCTGAGTAGGAGGCGGCGGTGGCGGAGGCCGGGGCGTGCGGAGCGCCGGCTCGGGGGCTAGGCCCTTCGAGGGGGCGGGCGGGGGCGGTCGCGTGTTTCTCCGGCTAAGGGGGCTGGTGACGCCGGCGGCTGAGCGACGAGATGAATTTCCTCCGCGGGGTGATGGGGGGCCAGAGTGCCGGACCCCAGCACACAGAAGCCGAGACGGTGAGCGCAGCGCCGGGGCCCGGGCTGGGGGCCGGGCTGGGGCGAGAACGGGGCGTCCACGCCTCTCTCCCTTCGCCTTCCTTCCCCCTGCTCGGGCGCGCGAGCTCCCCACGCGGCGGGGTAGCCCCGGGCCCGCGGTGACAGGAGGGCTTCGGGGGGGACCCGGCTCGCCGGCGGACCGAGGCCCCTCCCTCCTTCCCTTGAACCTGTCGGCCGGCCGCGGTGCCGGCTGGAGCCCGGCTCTGGAGGGGCTGGGTGGAAGGAGGTTACAACCCAGCTGTTGGCGAGGGCGTGTGGCTAAGAATAAAACGATATTCTTGGGGGCACACAGCCACCTGCTCCGGCCCGCCCCATCAGCTGTAAGCACGGGCGCTTGCCTAGGGTTGGTGGTTCAGACCCCACTTTCCAGGTTCGCCCAGATGTGTCTGTGTGGCAATACTGCTTTGGAACGCAGTAGTGATCTGTGCTCTAACCGCTCTAGGGACTTTTCTGCTCTCCTGGTGACACAATTTTGTAATGTTTTTTAAAAAAATTATCAAGACACGGAAAACCAGTGTTTATGTTTAGGATACACTTACTGTGAAGTTTGCATAGAGTCAATTGGAAATTACTGTGAATGCACTAAAAAAAAAAAAAACTGACTTGAGAATAAATTGAGCTACACAGAAAATGACTGCGAGTGACATTTTAAAGATAAACTTTAGATGGCTGTCATACCTTTGTTTTAGAAGATCCAGAAGGATCATAAAGTACCCTGAAAGGATAGGGTCTTTACAAAGTAATTTGCCCAGGGTCTTAGAGCTAGAATTCCACTACGGAGAAAACTAAGGCTTCTGCTAAGCCTGGACTTTGTTGCTGACCCCTCTATTTCAGTTCTTACCTGGCGATTTTGGAAATTTACATAATGTTAACCACACGAGTCTCTGTTAGTACTTCTTGGGGGAGATGGAGGAGTTCTGAGGATTGAATCCAGGGCCTGAGCACATAATAAGGCAAGCATTCTGCCACTGAGCCAGACTCAGCACCAGGTTAGAACTGAGCCGAAATCTGGCAGGTTCCATCCTCTCCCAATATTTGGCTTCACTTGTCTCAGACACACAAATGAAGAGCTTGCTTTGAAGTTAGACCACGATTTGAAGCCAGGCTTCCACCCTTGATTGACTTGGGCAGATGAGAGAAAGTTGACACTTTCTAAGTAAAATGAAGTAAAAGTAAAAGTGCTGGCTCCGAGGGATGTGGTGAGTCTTTGGGAAACAGAAAGTATGGTCCTTAGCAGATGCTCAGTAAAAGATAGTCTTGACTCCACGGAGGTTAGAGTGGGAATACCCTTTGGCCTGGTCACGGTGACCGCTTAGAAAAGGTGATTGAGAGTATAGGAATTTAAAGCCGGAAGGCTCCTTCTGGATCATCTAGTCACCCCTCCTCCTTTTACCCTCACCATAGTGGAGCTGGGCCTGGAACACTTGGATGCACTGTGCATAGATCAACAGCCTAGTTTTTACATCATTTCAGAATGATGCCCCGGTGTCACCATGATGGATATGTAAACTGGAGAGAAAGTGACAGCCTTGCTTGTTACTGCCCAACTTCATCTGCACTCAGAATGGGAAAAGTAGTTTGTCTTTAAAGGAGAGTGAGTTCACTGAGTTACAATGTGTTCCAAACTAGTTCTGATTCTATGAGGAAGTACAGCGAGGACCCATGGGTGACTAATTTGGAAGAATTTATAGAGCATCAGTGGAGTGCACAGTGTGGTATTAGATGCTTTAATTGGTGATATTTGATTTGGCCTAGATGTTTGACTTGCAAGGGCTTTGAACCTTTTAACTTCTAGATCATCATCTACTATTATGTAGGTTCTTCCATCCCTGCAAAATTAAGTTGTATCTTCTTTGGAATCGTTCTCCAGCTTTCTTTTTCGTAGCTTTTCCCAGTGGAAAGCCTCTTTTATCTGAATTCTACTTGTTCTTCAGACCTGTCATTAATTTTTTCTAGTATGCACCCCTAACTTATTTGCCCAAGAAACTGCAAATAATGTCTTTCCTCACAGAATAACCATTGCTTTATAACTAGGTGAACATGTCTTGTTCTTCCTACCATTTATATACACCCCAGGCCCTCTGCTTTCCTATCACGTATAAAATCATCCTTTAAAGTATCTTTCGTGTTCAAGGGTCAGTTGTATTTCAGGGATTTTTCCCTTGGTAATATATGCACCATAAGAATTTTTTTCCAGACATTTCACTGAGCTAAATCCCCGATCCCTCCTCCATAAACATTTTTTAAATTAGAGTTATATTTCAAATAAACCACAGATATAACAGAGCAAATATTTGGTTTAAAGAAATAAATGCCATTTTTATCCCTTCAGAAACCAGAGTTGTTGGACAATTGAACTCTGTTGTGTCAGACTTTTTACTTAGAGAGTTTTCAGATGTTCTCCTTGTTAGCTATTTTCCTGCCATTACATTTTTTCTTCCTTCATTGTGGGGTGTGGTGGTGGTGGTGGTGGTGGTGGAGGTGGTGGTGGTGGAGGTGGTGGAGGTGGTGGTGGTGGTGGTGGTGGTGGTGGTGGTGGTGGTGGTGGTGGTTTGGGTGGTAGATATTGAACCTGGCGGAGTAAGCCACACCTCAGCCCATGCTTAGCACCTTCTAACTGTGGAAGAGCTGTGTGGCTGATTATGCTGTGCCTGGCCTAATCTCAGCTGAGAGGGACTCTGGGCTTGTATTAAGATGTTCTTCAGAACCAGCCAAGTAGTAAAGATCTGTATTTGTATCACAAGATCATCAGCAAGTTTGTGAAATAGGGGACATTTTTAATCTTGAACTCCACCCACATTACACTTTGTATTTTAAAGTCCAGTACCTTTTAATATGGTTTCTTCTTTTTCCTCCCCCGAGGTAGAGAAAGACACTGATGTCTGATGATTGAAACTTCTTTCATCTTGGCTTTGCCCAGTGCCACTAAACATAGTAAAGGCCCACACGTGCTTGTGAAGGCTCTTGTGTTCTTCGGGATTCTTGAAAAGTCCACAAGAAATGTGAATATGCTTCATAAATCATTGGGATGCGTTCTGTTTTCAAGCTAGTCCTGAGGCATGAAAGCGGCCAACAGAAGAAAGCTCAGAATGCTGTTCTGTTGCAGGTGTCTCTGGGGGTTGATGATGAACGCCTCAGAAGGCAGGAAGGCTGGCAAGCTAGACCCAGGTGTACATTCTTCCAGTTAAATTCTTAAGTGAGGAGCGTGACCTCAAATTTACAGTTTGGGACTGGTCAGTGGCTCAGCAGGTAAACCACTTGCCATGCAAGCCTGACAGACAGCCTTCAATCCCCAGAGCCCACAGAAAGGGGGAGAAGAGAACCAGCTTGACAGCTGTCCCCTCTGACCTCTCTGCATGCACACCCACACATCACCCCCACACCCCCACACCCACACACATTAACAATAAAGAAAAAGGTTTTAGTTTTCAGTTTGGGTTTGAGGAAGCACGTTTTCTGAGTGTGTGATTGAGCACATCGCAGTGTTGTTGTAAGTGTATTCTCTGAAACTCCTCTTTGAGGTGCCGCTACAGTCTACATTAGTAACTAGGTCGGTGTCTTAATTGGAATGTTTTCTCACTTGGCTTGACTTGCAATAGGAATGTCAGAGAAGACAGGGGAGTGATTTGCCTGATGACTTTTATGTCCCAAGCACAGTGTCTTTTTGACTTGCTTGTATTAAACATCCCTTCCCATTTTGAAGTTAATTACCTAAATTATTTAGGCTCCTTTCAAAAAAAAAAAAATCACTTAAAATTTACATGCCCTAACATTACCAAGGTGTGTTCCAAAGAATGTTATTTAGTCTTTGTGATGTCCTAGAAAGCAGTTGGTTACCTAAGAAGTGTGTTGTCTGGTGGTCACAAACGGACCAGGAAAACCCTCTATGGTGATATGAAGGGTGCCTATTTCACAGTTTTCTGTCTAGACCTGGTGTGTGCACAAGTATGTGCTTGTGCCTCAGGGAACTTGGTGCATCTAGTATTCTGGAAAATGTACATAGGAAGATTGTCCCCGCCGGTCTATTGTACTGGGGTCTAAGTATATAATATGCTTCTCTAGTTTCTGTTTTTCAAGAGTCCTCCATGATCTGCAGCTCTGTACCTAGAAGAATAAGTTCTGAAGCCGCATGATTCGGGGAGTAATTACAGTCATCCCAAACTGGAGTATCTGTCTCCTAGGAGATACCATAGCAGATCATTTTAGAGGCTTGTGTTTGTTCGCTTGTTTTTGAGCTTGGGTCTCACTTTGTGACCTAAGCTGGCCTTGAACTCAAAATTCTATGCTTCAGCCCCAGTGCTGGGATTATAAACTACCATGCCCAGCCTGGAAATTCTCTATATAAAAATGTTATGCTGATACTTACCTGGCAGGGGAGATACCATGATCACGAAGGTGGTTTTCCCAGGGCGAGGCTTATCCATTGCACTCCGGATGTGCTGACCCCTGCGATTTCCCCAAATGCGGGAAACTCGACTGCATAATTTGTGATAGTGGGGGACTGCGTTAAAGAAAAAAAGAAAAATGTTATGTTGACTTTTATTTAGCTGTTCCAAATATCATAGGAAAGTTATGCTTGTTTTCATACCAGAGAAGTACTGTAAACATTCCTTGTATAAAATAATGCTAATCACCTTTAATTTGAAAACTTTTATAGTGTTAGATTTTTTAAACTTTTATTGTTTATGTGTATATGTGTTACCCTACTAACACACACACACACACACACACACACACACACACACACACACACACACCATGACAATCAGAGGACAGTGGTTCTGCATTTACCCCATGTGGGTTCCAGGGGTGACATTCAGGTCATCAGACTTGGCAGCAAGAACCTTTGTCCATGAACCATCTTGCCAGGCCTATAGTGTTAGAAGTTTTTGTTGCTGTTGTTTTAAATTATGTATTTTTAACGAGTGTGGGTGTTTTGCCTGCACTGTGTGTATGCCTGGTGCCCGTGGAGGCCAGAGAGGTCGTCGGATGCCCTGGAACTGGAGTTACAGACAGTTATGAACTTCCATGTTGGTGCTGGAATCGAACCTGGATCCTATAGAAGAGCACCTAGTGCTTTTAACCACTGATCAATCTCTCCAGCCCCTGTAGTGTTAGATTTTAAGATGCTGGTATTTATGACAGGCTGTTTGGTAGACAAATTTCATGTTAGTCTTGTTGAAAAGTTTTCCTTTAGCAATAGTTCATTCGTGGGCAAAGTGTGGACAGTAAATAAAGCAGTGTAGTATCTTGGCAGATTCAGACGTGATTGTAACAGAAATGGGCTGTGTCGTAGTCGAGGTCATCAGAGGATAACATTGACCCTTGCTTTTCACTTTTCTCGTCTTCAGAGTTACAGATCTACATTGGAAACAAATCCCTGTCTTGCTTGTGGTCAATTAACAGTAACATTTTTATACTATTAGTACATCATGAGTGAGTTAACTGTGGGTTCACATAAATTATTTTGGTCCTACCGAGTAGAGTCTTCCTTGGGAGTTCTTTTTCAGGAAGGTAGAGCTGTGTTTTAAACTCAGAGAAAGTTTGACGTGCAAGGTTAGAACATTAAAGGAAGTTGGTAGTAGGTGTTGAGCAAGTCCGTGTAAAATTATTGAATGTAGAGGGGTTTATTAAAAAATATTTTAAATATTTAGTTATTTTATTTTTATATGTATGAGAATGTTTTGCCAGGATGTATGTTTGTGCTCCAAATGTACGCCTGGTGCCCCAGAAGGCCAAAAGAGGGTGACAGATCCCCTGAAACTGGAGTTACAGATGGTTGTGAATCACCATGTGGATGCTAGGACCTCTTCAGGAGCAGCAAGTGCTCTAAACGGAGGAGCCATTTCTCAGTCCCAGATGTCACTGTCTTGCAAACTAAGTTAACCTTCTTCCGACCTTTATGTGGCCCTGGCCCCGCCCCCTTGCTTTTTGAGAGCTTTTCATTCTCTGTTTGTTTGTTCTTACTTTATTATTGGAGGGGGGGGGGCGCAGCTTGTGTCAGTTGGTGGGCAAGCACCGTTCCTCACTGGGCTGTCTGTCTTTCCAGGCCAGTCTTTCATTCTCATGGCCTTCATTTTTCTTTCCTACTCAACAGCTATTCCTATTGCTTTTTTATTTGGGGGGAGGGGGTCCTTTGTGTATTAATAAATGATATTATCAGCTTTCCCCCTTTTTAGTTTTAATAAGCAGGTCATTCAGTTACAGTTCTGACTAGATCTTATTTGCCTGTTATTAGTGGAATTATTTATTTCATGTTTTACTTGCTAGATGGAATTGTGAATCTCAAGTGGCAATTATGAACAAAAAGGTATTCTGATAATCACCCATGTGAATTTCATGGTGATTCAAATTCGTTATTGATGAGACTTTTATTTTAGAGGTGGGGGCGTCACTCTGTGGCCCAGCTGGTCTTAACTCAATCCTCCTGCTGCAGCATCCTAAGTGTCTGGATTTACAGATGTGTGCTACCACACTTTGGTTGTGTGTGTGTCCATATACAAACCATGCCAGTAAGCATTAAGTTCTTTTTGGCTATCCTCTGCATTTACAGTTCTCTTTCCAAAGAATGAACCTGTTACTAATTAAGTATAAATCTTTTCATCTGGGTTAAATTTTACTCAAAATGTTTTTCTCTTTAAAACTCGTTTTGGTGGCATTGCCCTTGTATAGTATTTTGTTGTTTAGTGTGAGGGCCACAAACCTTCATTCCAGGGGAGAGCATCGGTGAGGCAGGCAAGGCAGAGGAGAGCCCAGAGGCCTGTGATGAAGCCCCAACAATGTATCCAGGCTGAATGATGGCACTGGCACTCAGCAGTAGCCGGAAGTGTCCTGAATGTAGCCCGGGAGCCAGTTTTAGGTAGTCGGCAAGCTTTGCTTTCCTCCTGTGCCACCCTCCATGCTCTGTGTTTCCAGGCTGCGGTGCCCATGCCTTGTCCCTAAAAGGTGAATGTGGAATGGTGACCGTCTCATTGGGACTTTATGAAGGTTAAATACGTTTTAAAGGAGAAAGCACTTTAGGACCTGTCTAGCATGTGGTAAATGCTGCACTTGCCATGTGTCTTAGAGTTTCTATTGCTGCCATGAAACACCGTGACCAAAGCAAGCTGGGGGGGGGGGTTACTTGCCTTACACTTCTGCGTCTAGTCACTAGGACAGGAACTCAAGCAGGGTAGGAACTGGAGGCAGGAGCTGATGCAGAGGCCATGGAGGGGTGCTGCTTACTGGCTTACTTCCCATGGTTTGTTCAGCCTGCCTTCTTATAGAACCCAGGACCACCAGCCCAGAGATGGCACCAGCTCACTGGCCTGGGCCCTCCCTCATCAATCACTAATAAGAAAATGCCCTGTGGCTTGCCTACAGCCAGATCTTATGGAAGCATTTTCTTAGTTAAGGTTCCCTTTTCCTTAGATGACTTTAGTTTGTTTAGTTGGCATAAAACTATCCTGCACACCATATTTTACCAATACTAAAATACAGGTTGGCACTTATACATCTCTGAAGTCAGGATGTAGCTTAGAACAGTAATTAGTATTGTTATCCCAGTGATGGACTTAATAATAGTGGGTCTCCGCTTGGTGGAAGGAGAGGGCTGACCATTGCAAGTTGTCCTCCGACCAACACACTTGCACATGCAGTAACAATGAGTAAAATATGGGGCTGACGAGAGAACTCGGTGGCTGAAAGTACTTGCTTCTCTTATAGTGGACCTGGAATCTGTTCCCAGCACCCACATGGCAGCTCACAACTCTGTAACTCTCCGATTTCCAGAAATCCACCAGAGGAGTCTGGCCTCTGGGGCACCAAGCACATTGATGATACATACAGGCAAAACACTCAAGCACGTAGAATAGAAACAAATAGATTTGTTGAAGAAGAAAAAAGAATAGTGAGTCTTAAAATGTAGTGTATCTGGGCCAGTGAGATACTTGGTCAGGTAAAGATGTTTGCCGATAAGCCTGATGGTCTGAGAATTGAATCCTATAAGTTGTCCCCTGATTTCCACATGCACACCATGGCACATGCATACAGACATACACACACATACAACTAAATAAAATGTAATGTTAAAAATTGACTGTTTCTTACATTGCATAAAATAAAATGTTAACTGTCATCAAGCTAGTGTTTTTCAATAAAAGATAGAAATATGGACTTTTGTATGATTTTTTAATTTTTAAAAGCTAACTTAAGCCGAGCAGTGGTGGTGCACGCCTTTAGTCCCAGCACTCAGGAGGCTGAGGCAGGCGGATCTCTGTGAGTTCAAGGCCAGCCTGGGCTACAGAGTGAGTTCCAGGACAGCCAGGGCTGTTACACAAAGAAACCCTGTCTCAAAAAAAAAGAGCTAACTTAAAATTATTTCACATAACACAAGTCAGATAACTTTCAAATACTAAATATGCTATTATTCCTTAGGTTGAAGTAGAATATTTCTCATGTCTTGTTTTGTTTTGTTTTGTTTTTTTGTTTGTTTTTTGAGACAGGGTTTCTCTATGTAAGTCCTGGCTGTCCTGGATCTCCCTCTGTAGACCAGGCTGGCCTCAGACTCACAGAGATCCACCTGCCTCCACCTCCTTCCTGAGTGCTGGGATTAAGAGCGTGTGCCATCACTGCCCAGCTAATACTAGGTAATCTTCAAGTGCATCTTGTTTAGAGCTGCCTTCTTCATAGGTAAGGAAGTGGACTTAGAACTGGACTTTGGGCACGTTGCCTCCCTATCGGTTCCCTTATTTGCAAACTCACTAAAACATATTTGCAGCCCTGAATCAATAATTGCAGTGCTTTCCTGCTCATTTGAGGACAGTGCAGAGCAGTGAAAACAGACTCCCTGTTTCCAATCCAGCTGAGGTCAATAAGACCACCCAACCCTTGTTTCTACTTTTCAGTGTGAACAGAATCCTTTCAATGCTCTGTGTAGTAGTACATTTTCTGCGTGTTTGTATTTGCTGTTGACGATTTCTCTGTAATGAATGGCCCCTGAGTGTTGTGTTGAGTCATTTTCCTAGGCACAGGAAGGTTAGAAAGTATCTTAAAGAAAACCTAGGTTAAATGATTCCATTCAGCATGACTGTTGGCCTTGAGTTCAATATCCGTGAATAAAGATATGTATTAAATGAAGCATCCTTAAAGAGAAATAAACATAAAACAAAGGGGGTATTTTTGGCTTGAGAATTTTTTGTTTCCATTTTTCTTTTAAACAAGATCTCATGCTGTAGCCCAGACTGGCCTTGAACTCACAGAGATCACCTGCCTCTGCCTCCCGAGTACTGGCTGGCACCACAGCTGGCAAAAACAAGGTCGTATATTGATTGTTGTGACAAAAATCTGACCAGTGGCTCACAGGGAGCTAGCCTTATGTTTTCTTCAGAGTAGCTGAGGATGCACACAGATTCTGTGTCCATGGTGACGTGTAGAACGGAACTGACATACAGGGATAGTGAAGCACAGAACACAGAGCCAGCCGTCAGTGTTAGAACAGATGTACAGAGTGAGAGC